TTTGTATTGTGTGTACAATAGTGTCTCTGTCGACTCGACTTGTACTAGACTATAGCAGCCATCGACTAAATGTTTGCGTTGCAGCGACCAGTTGCGTCTGAAATTTTAGGCCTGCCGAATCGCCGCCGGAGCTCACCGCCGGAGCTCACCGCCGGAGCTTGCCGCGGGTTCGACGACTGGATTGTATACTGGCTTGTAGCCGACTATCCGACGGTATGAACCGACGAAACGAGCGGCTCGGCGGCAGACGCCGCTTGACGAAGACCGGCGACCTTTTGTCATCGGGTTGCGACGGTGTCGAGGACACGCGGCGCGTGACACAGCTGGGCACGTGCTGACCGTGCCGTGATTGCTGTCGGTCGAAGAAGAAAAAGAACATGCAGTGGATAGATCCAAACGACTGGTCTCGAACGAATGGACGCCTTCCTCGTCTCTCTTGGGTACCAAATGTGAACGTCGAGTTGCAGTGACCGTTGAAGGTCGGCTGAGAACTGTGTTGTACCATTGGCGCACGGTTCGCTCGTCTGAGTCCTCGCGACTTTGTTGAAGAAGAAACAAGTTGGTCGAATGTTGATGGCACCCGTCGTTGCACGTGCTCCAGTTGGGTGGCGCCCAACGAACAACGACCCAAATGCTTGATTCCCTCCTTCTTCATCCTTCTTTAATCTGCCTCTCTTCGTGTGTCGCAGCGCCACATCCTGGCCGCCGAGCGTATCGGATCGAAGGCAAGCGATGTAGGAGCATGGCGGTGCAGGGTTGGCAACGCTGGCGACTACCTGGCGACTGAATTACTCGTCGCATTAGCCAAGTCCATGGGCGCAATGTAATAGTTAGTAGATCCACTCGTTTGCCCCGCCCGCGCCCAGCACAATACGTGCTCCGAGATCTGGGTCCGATGTCAAATGTGCGATTGGTGACGTGGCATCGTGTGAGGCGTCCGTGCCCAATGACGTGGCACGATGTAGTGCCAGCGTTTTCGTCCAGACCAGCCGACGCACCCAGACCACATTGCCGTCCTTGCCGTAGCCAATGAGATAACAGTCTTCGTCGTCTTGGCTAAGCGTACAATTGGCTCGAGCAGGTGGGTGCGCAGCAAGAAAGGTCGCAAGGTACGGCGCTGGCCACCCCTTGCTAGCGCGCGAGACACCGCGAATACCATAGACCCAAAGCAGCAGTCGCGCTCGCAACGAGATCGCCGGTTGCTGCTGCACACGTCGCCCCCGGCTCCAATAGGCAAGCAAAACCCCGAGCCAAAAGGGCGAGAATGTCGTAAAGCTCGTGAATACAGTAGCATGAGACCGAGTGTTGCGTCAATTTGATACCGGGCGTTCTCGGGTAAGACCACCGACTGCATGAGGACGTAAAAGAGAGCTCGAAAACCAAACGAGTTGGTGCTGAGCACAATGACGCTTGCTGCATTAAGCGTTGCGAGCGCTGCGACGACGAGCGAGTCGACAGGCACGTAGAGATGCGTCAAGTGTCGCCCATGAAGCACGCGGGAGGCCCCCACCAGCGTTATGTAGCCAAACCACACCAGTCGAGAGAGATACAAAAGACCAAGCATACCGGGCACGGGCGCAATGGCCGTATTGTACGCTCGGCTCATCGCACGCCCGATAAACTGAGAGCTTAGCACGCAGTCGGTAGTGTACCCGAGCGTGATCCACGCGTTCGTCAAGACAAAGTCGGTCGGCTCGCCAATAAGTAGTTCGACATGACTAACGCCAGGTGCTCGCGGTGCCTGATGGTAAGCTACGAGCAATCGCCGCACGGCACAATAGTAGTGACGGTAAATGTACATCGCGGTACCGAGGCTGAGAAGACACCGATAGACAAATTTGCAGCAAATAATGACGTAGGGGTAGTCGACATTGCGGAAGGCAACGTAGATCGTGTACGCACCAGCGTCACTCGTGTCTCCAGAGATCGTATTGCCGGGGCGCACCCACGCGGCCAGAATGAACCCCGTCATGTCGAGAAAGGTGACGTACGATGCGAATTGTACTTGATCCAGTGTACCGTTTCCGTGCGCCAGAATCGAATCCACTGCATATGCTGTGTACAAGGCTGACGTGGGAAACTCTAGCACAAGCGCCGTTGGACTGAGACCTTCGAGAGACACGACGCGGCGGTAGACATCGATGCAGTAGGTGTCATCATACACGTAGTCCTCTGTGGTATTCGTAGCGTGTATATGCGCATACCGATCTTGAAGAAGCTTCAAGTACACCGGCTCAAACGCCGCAAACGTTGTGTTTTTGGGCTGCAACAGCGATGTTGGCGCACTCGACTGCTGGAACGGCGAGTCCTCCGAGAGGTAGGCTTTGAACGGCATCAAGAGGAGGTTGCCAAAGAAGAGGACACTCGTCACCAGCGACCGTCGGTTCAAATGAATGGGTGTATTGATGTCGGCCTGGGTGGGCGCCACGCGTCGTGGCATCGCACCGAAGGATGGTGGCGGGCCTGAAATAGCAACACTGTATGCTCCGTGCGCCACGTCATGGTCCCGAAACCACCACCGAGAAAGGGCAGCACCCGGCATGCACTTGCACCCAACAGTCTTTCGTCGGACATGACCCATGCGTCGGATCTGCACGTTCTATCAGTCCTAGTTGCGGCGCCTCTCCGCGTCCCCTTGTGAATCGTAAGATCGTAGCCTTGGTTAGTTGGCAGCCATGGTTAGTTGGCAGCCATGGCGACGGCCATGGGACGTGCACTTTTGTCTTCTAAAACGTTAGTGTTTAGTACGTATTAGTAAATCCACTCGTAAGCGTCGTCAGTTCCCATTGTGACGCACGCGTCGTGTTGCACGTCGGCCGACAAATGCGCGACCGGTGACGTGGCATCGCGAGTGGCGGCCGTGACCCATGACGTGGCGCGCTGTAGAGCCAGCGTTTTTGTCCAGACCAACCGACGCACCCAGAGAACAGTGTGCTCCTTGCTGTAGGCAACGAGATAACAGTCTTCGTCCTCATGGCTGAGCGTACAATTGGCTCGCGTGCTCGGGTGGGAAGCAAGGAAGGTCGCAAGGTAAGGGACAATACTCGTTTTGGCTGCGTGCGACATGCCGCGAATGCCGCAGAGCCACAGGAGCACTCGTGCACGCAACGAGAGCAGCGGCGCACGCTGCGGCAGTCGCCAGCGGCTCCAGTACGCGAGCACAAACCCAAGCCCAAGCGGTGGCAGGCTCGTAAAGCTGGCGAAGAAGATCAATCCAAGTGTCGAGTCCACTTGGTACTGAGCATTTTGAGCATCGACCACCGACTGCATGAGCGTGGCAAACACTGAGAGAAAATTGTACGAGGTAGCGGTCAGCGCAAGGAAGACCGCGACATTGATTGCTGTGAGTGCTGCGATGGTAAGCGAGTCGACTGGCACGTAGAGGTGCGCCAGCTGTCGCCTGTGGAGCACTCGGGAGAGCCCTATTAGCGCCAAGTAGCTAAACCAGACGAGCCGGGAGAGGTACACGAGAGCGATAAGACCTGCCGTGAGCTCAATGTTCATGTTGCTCGCCCGGCTCATCGCACGCCCGACATATTGCAAACTCTGCACGCAGTCCATAGTGTAGCCGAGCGTGATCCAGCCGTTCGTCAAGACAAAGTCCGTGGGTTCGCCAATAAGCAACTCGAGATGACTCACGCCTGCCGGTCGTGGCGTCCGGCGGTACGCATGTAGCAACCGCCGCACCGCGCGGTAGTAGTTTTGATAAAAGTACCGGGCCGTGGCGAGGCAAAGGAGACAGCGCATGCCGAATTTAGCGCAAATGAGAAAGTACGGCACGTCAATGATGCGCATCGTCAAGTAGATCGTGTACTCGTTCGCTTTGCCCGAGCTTCCAGACATGGTATTGCCGCGGCGCACCCAAGCGGCCAGCGTAAACCCCACCAGGTCGAGGAAGGTGACGTACGAAGCAAATTCGACGTCTTCGAGCGTACCGTTGGCGTGCGCCTGGATCATTGTCGCATCATACGACGTGTAAAAGAGCGACGTGGGAAACGCAAGCACGAGCGCTTTCGGAGAGTGGTTCAAATCGACGACGTGTCGGTAGACGTCGACGCGGTAGGCGTCATCGTAGAAATAGTCGGCGCGCGCCGTCGTAGCGTCCATGTGGGCGTATCGGTCTTGGAGCAGCGCCAAGAAGGGCGGTGCAAACGTCTCAAAGTTGGGGGACGTCAACGTCGGCTGCAACGCCGCGGGTGGCGTCGCACTTGTCTGATGGAACGGCGAGTCCTCGGACAGGTACGCCTTGAACGGCATCAAGAGAAGGTTGACGCAGAAGACAACACTCATCGCAAGCGCCCGTCGGTTCAAATGAATCGGCGCGCTCACGTCCGCCGCCGCGGGCGCCACGCGTCGTCGCATCACACGCATGGACTCTGTCAAAATAAGGGCGCTGAAAATAGCCTTCTCCTGCACGCACAGCCTGCCACGTCATGGGTCCGAAACCGCCGCGAACCGGCTAAGACTACTAAGAAAGCTCAACCGTCCAGGACTCTTGTCGTTGGCGTACATCGCTGTTGGACCAGAATACGTCTTCGATAGATCGATCTAGCGTCCACCCGGTCGAAATGGCCCCATGACCGCTGATGACACGCAAGAAGAGAAGACACTATGTAGTATTGCGCGACAACGGAGTAGTCGTAGAAGTACTCGACAAGAGAGACCGGGTCGTCGGGGGTGCGCGGCAAAAGGCCCTTATTTTCGCTGGACGAGCGACGCGTTGATCGCGTCCGACCACTTCTTGGAGCCGTTGGCAGCGTCCGACAAGTGGTACACGCGGTTGGGCTAGACACGCCGCATTCCACACCTCGCACGAGCGCATGAGCGACGTACCGTCACGACATCAAACGTCGACGAGTTCTTGATCGTAATGTACATCGAGTCGGACCACGGAATCTCGCCTTCGCAAGCACATCGCTTTCCGCACCAAGCATATCTCGAGCTACCTTTTTGGCGCATGCGAATCGCGTCAATGTAGATCAGGCGCGGCTTGGACGTCAAAATCAGCTGGCGCTTCTTGGAGAAGAGCCCCTTGCGCTTGCTCACGAGGCCGCTCATGCGAATGACTTCGTCGTCGAGCAAGAATCGGTTCCTAGCGTCCGTCTCGTCATATGGATCGTGCAACGTCGATCGTACCAGAGCGAGTTCATGCGCGAGACGGGCGGGGGCGCGACCGTGGCGCGGACACGTGCGACTTCGACAGGGTTGTGGTTGTCGATAGCGTACGACGGCGCGGTGCTGTAGCTGTTGCCGGACGTGCGCGATGCATTCGCACTGCTCCGGTCTTCTTCGTACTGGATGAACGGCTCGGCGTTGAGCCCCGACGAGATTTGGAGCTCAGTCGCAACACCAGCAAAGAGCCAGTCTTCGGTCGCGCCATCCTGCACCAACGCGCGTCAAGACGATACGACATATAGATCCGACGCCTACATTGTCGGTGGGAGGGAGGTGCGAGATCTTGGGCATGTACGGCGGCGTCGTCTGGCCAAGCGTCGCCCACTCGATACCTTGAAAGAAAGGGTGGCTCTATGGAAACCCTGAGGCTACCATGTCGAGAGGCTATACAAGGGCGTACCTTGAGGGCCTCGTAGCCGTTGCCGTCGGCGTCGGTGCCAGCACCAAGGCGCTGCAGCGGTTCTTGCAGTAAGAGCTTGTCGCAGAGGTCTTGCGCGACGGCGGGGAAGCCTTCCGGGTACGCAAAGTCTTCTGCCGGGTGGTTGAGAATCTACAACGAGACAAAAATGAGCTCTGGGCATAACATCGAGAGATTGCCGACTTGCTGAAAGGTAAGGTACTCGTTCTCGGCACGAAACATGGGGCGCCCCACGAGCATCTGGAAGATCATGCAGCCGACGGCCCAGAGATCGCAGCCCCGGGACGCCTCCTGGTCGCGGAGCACCTCGGGCGAGACGAACTCGGCCGTGCCGCAGAACGTGTTGTGGCGCACGCCCTCTTCAGTCTCGTCCTTGGCAGTACCAAAGTCTGTGATCTTCAAATGGCCCGAGTCGCTCAAGAGGATGTTCTCGGGCTTGATGTCCCGATGGATCACGCCCTACCGCGCCATCATCAATCGCCGGATCATCGCAAGAGGAAGAAGAAGACGAGTGTACCATGCCATGGAGGTACTCGAGGGCCTCGAGGACTTCGGCAATGTAAAACTGCGTGACCTCGAACGAGCACGCCTTGTTGGTCACGCCGCGCGACGCTTGCTCCTTCTGCGACTTGCTACATGCAGCGTCCTCGTCATTGCACACAGAGGATCCGGCGCGTACATGATGACGTCGAGGAGTTCGCCGCCGCGACAGAGCTCCATGACCATGTAGAGGTAGTTCTTGTCTTGGAACGAGTACGAGAGCTTGACGATGCGGTCGTGGGACACCTTGGAGAAGACCTTGCGCTCCATCATGACAAACTTGACCTTCTTCTCTTTGCTAATGAAGCGCTTCTCCATGATCTTGACCGCAAACTCTTCGTTCGTCTCCTTCAAGCGCGCATGGACGACCTACATGCACCGCATGAGGCCGTTGCAAGCGCGCTCTCGCCGGCGGTACCCGGGCGTACGCGCCTTCGCCCAGCGTCGTCCCGAACATGAAGTCGGCCGGTGATTGTATCCGCAGCCGCGAGGCCATCGTCTTGGTCGAGGTCGTCGTCGTCGTCGTCGTCGTGCTGCCCCGGCCGGAGCAATCTATTGTAAGCCGAGGGGTTTTTGAGTATTCAGTCTCTTCGGAACCTCCCACAATTTATATTGGACAGTCGAAGGTAGTGTGACGACATGACGCCAAGTGCAACATGACGTCAGGCCCACCATGCGCAGTTGTCGACCACAGCCAACCACAGTAGAAGAGGCGCCTCGTCAAAGACGCTCCTTGCGCATCGCTCCTAGAGCCACGGATGCTGCCACGTCAGCAGAAACCGTGACGTTGGCACAGCTTGGTCGGTTCAGTATGTCATGCGGTCGTCACGCCCAAACTGAGATTACGCAAGCGAGGATCCCAGACAATCCCGCATTACGAAAAAGATCGTGTTGAACGCAGCCTCGCGTGCTTGCAATCCTTGGCCATTAGACATGGGCGCAGCTCGAGGCCAGCGACGAGCCAAACGTCCCAAGTGCTCTCTGCAGTCGCCAGGATCGCACAAGCATCCGCACACTATTTCATGGCGATCGGAATAAGAAATCGGTTCTGAGAGGTCACGTGCGCTCAGTTTGCACTTTTGGATCACACGGTGCTGCACCAAGGTCCAAGCGAGCTGTCCATGCGACGATGGCCGCCCGTGAATGGCCGCCCGTGAATGGCCGACGCACCTCGCGAGCCAAAGGACTTGAGTAGAGAAGAGGTGAGCGGCCAGGCTCTACGAGGTGGCGGGACGAGGCCAAGGAAGTGGGCTCCTCGCAACGACGCCGGCTGCTCCCACCGAACGCAGCTCTATGGATGCGCTGTGCTGCCATTGGCCTTTGGTCGCCGACGTGGGTTGTTGGCGATCCATGGCGCGTGGAAACACGCTTGGATCTTGGTACCGGAATGCTTATGCGCTTGTATTGTCAAGGGTATACGGGGCGTGTTGAGCTGCTACTGCTCGCCTCGTTGTGGTGGTGGAGCAAGATATTAAATAACAACCAGTGACGACGACGACTAGAGGTCGTGGACGTCGGACGCCATGAGCCGCGCCGTGTTCATCCAATCGGGGTTGTCGACGGACGCGCTGCCAATCATGATGGAGCTGTCGCGCACGAGGGAGCTCTCGCGGCGCATCGAGCTCTCGCGGACGATCGAGTCCATCGACAGCTCGCGGTCCATCGAGTCGTTCCAGACAACGTTCTCTTGGATCGAGCTCGTGCGTCGCGGCGCCGACTCGAACGAGTCGTCAAACTCCTCCTCTTCGATCGTGATGACCGAATCTTGGCTGCCGTAGTAAAACGACTCGGAGACGGCATTGAGCCCGCGGCTGTCGTCCGTGTCGCGGATCGACGAGTCGTCCGAGAGCTCGGAGAGGTCGCTCACCTTGTACGTGGCCGCAAAGTTGATTGGCGCTGGGGCACTAGGCAACGTGGCTGTCGGCACCGGCGCCGGCGGGGCGCGGGCGTACGTAGCCGCGTACGGCGACGGCTCGTAGAGACGCTTGGTGCTGTAGAGCACCGGAATTGTTGAGTCCCGGTTGCTCGCCAAAAGTGCAAACGACGAGGCCGCGCGGGTCTTGATCTCTTCGCTCTCGCGCTGCTGGCGCTGCCGGACAACGACGAGCGCGACAATGACCGAGACGCCGACAGCAGCAGCGGCAGAGAGGATGATGGCAGTGCTGCTGTTGGGCGAGTCTTGGGCTGCATCTAGGTAGTGCAATGAGACTTGGCTGCACCTCGGCCATTGAGCAAGTATGGTACCTTGGAGATTGACCTGCGACGTCGGCTTGCCATTGGTGTTGGTGTTGCTCGACGGTGACTTGTGGCTTTCGGTCGACGCCGGCACTTGGGTTGAGCACGAGACGCAAGCGCTCACAATCGGCATCGTCGTGTCCGCTGCCGTCGTCGGCAGGACGATCGTTGCCGTGGTTGCCGTCGGCGTCGTGGGTGTAAGGCTCGTACTGGGCGACGGTGGCGCCGATGTCATCGGTGCTGCTGTCGTCGGCGATGCACTGCTTGGTGTAGGGGCCGGCGTCGGTGGCGACGTGGGCTTTGCCGTCGGCGACGGGGTCGGTGTCGGTGTCACGGGGGCGGGCGACGGCGTCGGTGGTGCCGGTGTCGGCGTTGACGTCGTCGGGGCAGGCACGGGCGTCACGGTCGTGCTGTTGGGCGACGGCTGCTGTGCGGTGACGGCGGCGAGGAGCACGAAGAGGCATGCAGCGAGCAGCCTCGTCCGCGGCCATCGCGGCGCCATTCTCTTCCGCTTCGAGTCGGTGGAATCTCAATTGAGACGGGAAAGTCGACCAGGTGCGCCAACTCAGAACCATATTGCCCATCATATACAAACACCAAGGTAGTTCGACAAAGCAACGCTGCTGTCACAGAACGCGGCCGTGACCAACTCCATGTGGGTTGAAGGAACCACAGAGTTCGGAGCGCTGCCGACATGCACACGAAGATGAAGAGGACGATGGAGACGACGAGGAAGTAGGGAAGAAGTCACGGAGCAGGAGCCCGCATGCGCCACAAGGAGCTCTGCGGACCGACGCGCCGGATCAGGTTCAACGGCGCCGTCTATCGTAGTTCGAAGTCGCCTGCGTGTCATTGGCAACACGTCGTCTGCCTCTGCAGAACGCTGTTATAGGAGGTCATTTACGTTGATAACGATGATGAAGGGCCAACGTGAGTGCTGCGTGTGTAAGCGAAGAAGCGTCGGTGACGCGCTTCGAAGCGGCCCCTGTGGGCAGCTGCTGCAAAGCGGCAGAGGGCGTGATGTGCGTTTTGTCTTCGAACTTCGATGATTTAGCAACGGCAACTGCAATGTGTTATAACACATAGACGCGGTGTCGATTGTGGCACCGTGCCACGTTGCCAAGATCGCACGCGCTTGTGGAAGCGAACCTCGTCAGACAACGATACTATGCTAGATACCAGTATCACTGACCCCGCTTCTCAGATATGGTTGGCGCCTGAGTCGTGCAGCTTGAGTACATGTAGTTGCCTCTCGCTGTGTTGTTGAATCCTTGAGCCTCTCCAAGCAATTGAGTTGAAGGTCGTCCGTTGACACGGCGCAGTCAGGTGAAGTTGATGAAGGCTGGTCTTCACCATGACCAAGCGATAAAGCGTGCAGTACTTGATGCGTCCCGTTGTGTGTATGTGGGCTCGTGGGTGAAGCGTCGCGATCTTGTGAAAACATTTTGTTATAACTGGAGCGCTGTGATTGGCCACAGTTTTCACCATTGGCAACCAGCGGTGCAGGATCATGCCACGCTCACCAGGTAGACTATCGCCGCATGAGGAATAGGATCTAAAGGAGACAGCTATGCTATTGCGCCCTTCCTACTGCGTCCATCCAATGTAGCCGACCACCGAGGACGAGCCTCCGAGCGCCGGGCCTCGCGTTCGCGTGACCGCTCGTCGCGCCGGCATCGGTCGGCGTCCCGCAGCCCGAGCCGTCGATCGTTCCGCTCGCCGTCGCAGTCGTCTCGCCACTCGCGCAGCTCAGAGCCCAAGCACCGCCGATCGACATCGCGGTCGCCGGCGCGCAAACGCTCTCGCCGATCTTCGTCGAGCAGTAGCAGCAGCGACGACCACTCCAAGTCGTCGCGCCGTGCCAAGGCCAAGAAAGCCAAGAAGGCCAAGAAGGCCAAGAAGGCCAAGAAGCACCGCAAGCGCGATGAGTCATCCTCGTCCGACTCGGAGACAGAGCGCAGCGTCATTTCTGGTAAGAAGATCAAGCGCAAGATCGCCATGACGGCCCTCGACAAGAAGAACCAGCAAAAGCGCCAGGACTTGCTCAAGCTCTACAACGACATGTACGACTAACATCATATATTGTCATTGTCGCTGCATCCATTGAACTCTACAATGGCTCATGCGGCGTGCCCAAACGTGGACAACATGTCGGTGATCTCGTGGCGGTCCACAGGGCAAGTGGCGACGCGAACAGCGCAGGCGCCGCAGAGGACGCGGTGGCGGCACGGCAGCAGCACAATCGAGACCGGCTCCGAGTAGCAAACGATGCAGAGGTCCGACCGCGCTTCCATGGCCGCTCGGTACTGCGCCTTGAGCCCGTCGCGGACCTAATGCAGCAAATGATGTGTATAGCATTTTAGAAGAGGGTGTACGCTGCACAGGCTGGCTTCGAGCGTCGCTTCGAGCGCCTCGAGGTCGTCAAAGGATAGGTCCGGCACGTTCTTGCCGCGCAGGCGTTGGTTGTCTTTTGTTGTCGCCGCGAGCTCGACGCGGAGGCCATTGAGCCGCTGTTTGAGCGTCACGTAGCCTCTGCGACTCGGCAATAAGATCTATGTGCGTCGAGTGGGATGTACATACTCGGAGGTGACGCGTGTGCGCTCGTTGGCCAGCGCCAGCCGCTTCTCCATCTTGGTGGCCAGATCAACGTGGTACTGGACACGGGCTTCCGCGTGGTCGAGTTGTTGCTGCAATTGAAGTACAATCAGCGCGTGGCGCTCGATCTCTCTACACACAGTGTCATGTAAAGGAGACGGGCGGTGCGTACTTTGATTTCTGGGCGATGGCCTGCGTGAGGGCCATGTTGCGCACGAGGCATTCCTGAAGACGCTGCTGCGGTGTCGGCGGTTGCTTCTACTTGGCAGATCGTACTGTGTCTGTATCAGTTGGGCGAGTCGACTCACCGATGGCGGGCGGGCTAGCGGTTCCGGCTCGGGCTCGACCTCGGAACACGGCACATCAGCACCAGGTGCCGTCATGCTTACGGGCAATGCGCTTGGTAGCGAGTGGGATCGCCGCCGTTGTGTGCCGCACGGGCGGCGCAGCGCTGGACCTAGCATCCATGGGCTTCTTCTCGGCTAGAAGAAGTGGGTAGTAGCGTACGAGGCTGCGGATACCAGCTCTGGTGGGCGTCGGCGAGGAGACGAAAGTTGTAGCCGGCTGACGTGGCCCCTGTGTTCATACGGAGTAGCTCCAAGACCGTGCTGCTCGCGTCTTGCTCGTCAAACGTCAGCTCAATGTCGTCGAGATCGATGCTATCCATTGCGACGATAATCGCGCACTGGCGGTATAATGTGTCGTTTCAAGCATGTGGTGCTGCCACGTGTCATTATCCGGATGATTGTGCAATCGTGTTGGCTAAATTATCGATGTCGGCGCTGCTGAAGCTTTTGCCGCAGGAGGCGCAACTTGGTCGGGTCCACACGCGACACCGCAGCATGATTTACTGTACGCGGTGGCAAGGGTACCCTTGTTGGTGGTTTGCTTGGGGCGGGAGGGTCGTCGAGGGTGGCGTCACCCCCGCCTTTGGAGCCGTTGGTGATAAACGAGAGGCGATCGAGGCACCACTGGTGGAGGCTTCGAGCCCACTCGTCCGGCACCGTTTTGCAAACGTTGACAAGGGCCTCGTAGCGTCGTACGACGTTGAAGTGCGGGATCACCAAGCTTAATTTGCGCAAGCAAAGCGGACATAGCGCCAGCGTGGGCTGACTACAGTGTTGCGAGACGCAGTGGTAGAGGCCGCAGGGCTGAATCCCCACAAGGCTCAAGAACGCACCAAGGAGACGCTAGCATCGATGGCCAATTCACAAAAATTCTCTCAACAGATCACTGCAACAGTACCTCGATCGTTGGCGCGTTCAACGCCGGCGATGGCAGCGTCAGGAGATGGACGGGCTTGCCCGCGGAACTACAAGTCGTCATCGACGGCACCAGTGCGCGGTCCTGTCTACATTCCCGGGTCGTTTCAGCGCACAAAGCGGCGATGTACTACCCTCGAAGCGGTAGCGTTGTGAGGATGATGAGGCCAGCCGCTTGTGCTGGTAGCTGGCGGTGGGCAATCTCCATGACGTTTGCAATATGCACGGCTCTGCACCACATACAATGCAAATTGAGCTCTGAGCTTAGGACACGTACGCCGCGCTGCCAGGTATGGGCTGCAATAAAAGGTGGCGACGGGAGGCTGCGAACGCTGGGATCGCGAGCGATTGGAGGCTGCCAAGGTCGAAGAAGGCGGCAAGGAATGGAAGGTACAGCTCATCCAGCAGTGGTATATCGATGCTAGCAAGGTAGAGGGCGTGTTGTAGCCGGTCTCCACTACCGTGTATATCGTAGCTCTCGATTTCGATCCGGCGAGGCAAGTACCTCAATGGCGCATTCGTCGCCACAAAGTCTGGCACCGACTGCGTACCTGGTATCAGATCGACACGCTCCATGTAGAGGTCGGGTTCGAGCGCGCGCTTGAGCTCTCTCGAGGCGGGCGGCTTCCCCAAGAGCCGTCGGAGCTCTGCGTCCATACAACTGCACTCTTTCTGAAACCGAAGACCGTGTTGCCTTTCGTATCCTCGTTCTACTTCTACCAGTTCTACGCAACTGTAGTCTTCAACTAGGGCAGTTTGCTGTGAAAGCAAATCGCAACCCCCAATAGGACACACGTCATGCCGGCGTAGGTATCTACGAGGGTGTCAGCATTTCACGCACGAGCCTTCACGTACACAGCGGGTTCTTGGGCGTCTCGCCGAGGAGGCGGCTCGTGAGCGCTGTAAAGACAAACGTAAACGAATTGCAAATGGGCACGGCCATCGAGATATCTAGCTGGCTGTCAACACCGGAGATGAGGACGCCGACGCACCGGACGAGCCAAGAAAGTACACGAAGGCAATCGAGCCGCTCTGGTTGAGGGCGAATGGAATGATGAACTAGCGTAAACCATGAGCGTCATGGATGATGCTCGCAAATAGGGAGAGACCTTCCAGTTGGTGAGCGTGCAGTAGAACTCGTACATGTACTCGCGCAGCGCGTTGCTTTGGCGGGTGTAGACGGCGCCGCCGCTCTCTACAGCCGCGTTTTCGCCTACTTAGCCGCCGAGAGCATGGGCCTACCTTGCTTGAGCAGCGGGTTGGTGCAGCCCCAGAGCGCACCCACGAGCAAGAACGAGAGCAGCGTGTCTAGCAGCCGAGCATGAGCACCTCGACGCCATCGCACCGCCGCCCGTACCGAGCATGGCAAGATTCAAGACTTGTGAAACTCAATGGGCAATATCGTTTCTCAGAGGTTTTGGCTCATTCCACGCAACCGCATCTTGCGCATCTTCCCTCGTGGGCGTGTGGGATGCTGCGCCGAGCTTCAAAGATTCTGACGCTGCAAGACGATAGCTCTGGGCAACGTGCTAGCTAGCTCACGCCTCAAATTACGAGGCCAACTCCGTGTTTACATCACTGACGGTGTTCATGTTGCGCAAGACGCAGTAGCCTACTGGATCGTCGTGCCGAGAAGGCGAATGAAGGCGGCGCAGAGGGCGGGGTGGCCGGGCCACGCCGGTGACGTCACGAGGTTGCCGTCGACGCACGCTTCGTCGGCCTTCTTGCCGACCCACGACGCGCCGGCAATGATGCAGTCGATTTCGAGGGCCGGGTACGCTGTGCACTGGCGGCCCTTGAGCAAGCCAGCAGCCGCGAGGATCTGCGGGCCATGGCAGATGCTTGCGATCGGCTTGTTGCGGGCACCTATATGGTGTAAATCGTATCGTCATGGCGCATGGGATTAGGATGCCGCACCAAAGTGCTGGACGATCGCTACGACACGCGGGTTCATGCGAAGGTACTCGGGCGCCCGGCCGCCCGGGATGTAGATGCCGTCGTAGCGCTCCAAGGCCGCGTCCGTCACCTACGTCCGCGCATGAGCCAGCCATGTGCAGAGAACGTAGTACGTCGTCAAAGGCCAAGTTGACGACAAAGTTGTGACCGCGCTTCTCCGAGTAGGTCTGGTCGCCTTCAAAATCGTGGACGCACGTCTTGACAAAGTCGCCGGCCTTCTTGCCGGGGCAGATCGCATGGACCGTGTATCCGAGCGTGAGGAACGTCTGGAATGGCACCATGGCCTCATAGTCCTCGACGTAGTCGCCGACAAGGATCAAGATTGTCTTGGGCATGCTGCTCCGAATGTGGTCGTTGCGTTCTGACGCCACGCTGGCTTCAGATTCGCGAGTAGCCAGATTGCGCTTGATTGCGCTAACTTCAAGATGGCGCATGCTGTATGGCCCATCGCCCTCTTATTCTCGGGCTATCAGCAGCAAACATGACACATGATGCCAACGCGGTCAACATGGCGAGTTGTCGGTGCTTGCACCGTGGTCCAACGTCGCCCTTCGCATAGACGTCGCAGGTCGTGCATCCATGGCGACGGGCGTGACCAACGCGCATGCGTAACATTGCCTGCAAGCGCCATGTCCCATGCCAAGGCAAGGCCAGGCTGCCATGGCCATCCGCGCTGACGACTGCGCGGTCGCCGGTCGTGCCGGACGGCTCTTGGAAAGATACCACATTGCGCCGCTCTCGCGGGGCGCGTGGATTGGCCAAAAGTCAAATCATGACCCGAAACACGCGTTGTGATTCGCGGATAAAAATGGCAGTGGCCAATGGCATCTAGGTTCCAAATTTTGTTCAGAGTGCAGGCTGTTCTCAATCCGCAGTTCGCCCCGTCCGCCCATGGTGCATGTGGTCTCGCCCCGCGGCGCGCCGGCGTCGCCGGCCGCGTCGACCAAGTCGTCGTCGTCCATCAATGGCAGCCAGGGCTCCAAGTCGCACTCGAGCTCCGAAGAGAGCCTCGTGGACGTGGCGCCCGTGATCGACGAGGTGCGCGACGATATCATCTGCGCGATCTTCAACCTGCCCGCGTCCACAATCTTCTACCCTGGTGGGCCTAGCTCAGCATCCACCGCACTGGCTCATGCACGCGCGTAGACTACTCGTGCGCGCTTGTCGCGACGCTCGCCTTCCAAGGTCGCATGTACCCCGCGAACGACAGCGTATGCTTTTACTCGAACTTTCTTGGCAAAGAGACCAAGCTCGTGATCGCATACGAGACGATCACGGAGCTCGCCAAGACGACGACAATGTTTTCCAACGCGTTTTGCCTCAAGACAGCGGCGAGAGAGTACACGTTCACGTCCTTTTGGGGTACCAACCGGTAGGCGTGGCCAGGCGCACGCGATACCAGTGCTGACACAGCCATGTAGGGACCAGTGCTACGACCTGCTGACGTCGCTGCGCAACAAGGCGCTGGGCATTACGATGACAACGATTACAGCACCGCCGTCCGTGGCTAGCCCTACGAGCGAAGTGGCACCAGTTGCGACGCCGCCGTCGCCAGCGGCGCCGGCCCCCACCGATCCTGTGCCAGCACTCGACGCCCCGATTCCAACCATGTCGAGCGATCCGGCGCCCATGAACGACATCATGAAGTACACATTTCCGATACCTGTCGAGACATTTGTTGAGAATTTCTTCACGGACGAACCCATCTTTGGCCTCGTCGAGTTCAACCGGTGCGTCCGCTTGATGGCTCTGGAGGCTCAAGTCCGTGGCTGTAGACGCAAGGGCGCGACGGAGCTCAAGTGCGATCTCTGGAGCGAGCACCCAGACGACGCCAGCTTGGGTACACGAGTGATCGAGTGCATAACTCGATTTGATGCAACAACCGTAGGGCTCACGCGCACGGCCAGCTTTGTCTTGCCGGTCGATGCGCCGATTGGTCCAAAGAGCACTCGTGTCCACGTCGTACGTCCATATCCCTCTCTCTTGCCCCCACGTATGGACAACTAGACCCAAATCCGTCGACCGCTCGACCACGGCGGCTACCTTTTTGACACGTCGACCAAGCTCGCGGACATCCCGTACAGCGACTGCTTCCTCGTCGAAGACCGGTGGATTTTGCGCAAGATCTCAGAGACATCGTGCGAGCTCTGCGTGCAGCTGCGGGTATCGAAGCGGGGGCCATTTGCAGCATACACACATCAAGTCTGTAGGTGGTGTTTCTCAAGAGCACCATGTGGCGGGGCATCATCGAGTCCCGCGCCAAGTCCGAGTGCAAACTCAAGTTGCTCGAGTGGATCGAGATGGCCAACCAAGCCATGTCCACGGACGGGCTCCCGCCGTACCCGCCAGGGTCCCGCCTCCCGTCGCCCCGCAAGCTGCCGTCGCCCAAACGCCCGGTGTCGCCCCGGCGAAAGGCATCGACCAAACCCAAGCCGGCCGCGATCGACGTCAAGCCAGCAACCACCGCCACGACAGTTGCCACCGCCGTCCGCCGCACCGTCGCGCTCAAGCGCAACAACATCATGCCCATCTGTACGTCTCTTGTTCGCTGGAGCACAAGGGCGCATGTGCGATATATGCTAGTGTTTCCATGGCTCGTCGTCATCTTCCTCGCCGTATACGTCTACCGCGTCCACAGCACGCTCTCGACGATGGAAGCCACGATGGAGAGCCAACAGCGCGTCCTCGAGCAGCTCGTCCAGACACTCGGCCAGGTGCAGTCGTCGCTCGGCGCCAAGGCGATGCCAATCGAGATCCCTGATAGCGTATACGGGCGACCTGGTACAGGGATCCATGCTTCCGGTATCACACTTCAATAACATCGTGCTTCATTGTCTCGCGATCCGTTCATATGCTTTGCACGGGCGGCTCTCGTGGGTTGGGACGAGCGGGCGTAGGCGCATATGCCATCGGTCATTAGTGGTACCGACGACGGCTCTGCGTGCGGAACCTACCCCTACGTGTGCTTTGTCACCTGAACTAGATGGTCGATGTTAGAATACTCTTGAGGCTCAAGCGTTCGTAGTGGTAGGCGGCAGCAACGAAGCCTCGAGCTGCTGGAGTAGTCTCCTACATACGACCTATTGCATCATATGTCGACATGACCAGGCCTACGTTGCATCGGCCACGTTGGCGGCCGCTTCTGTCGCCAACACGCTTGTTCGCGGCGGCGCTGGCGACGACGGTGTGAGCTTGGCCCTACACCGGTCAGTACGTGCCTATGAATACGTTGCGTACTTGGTACTGGCGATCGACGACGCGAGGTGCGTGTGCGTGGCCTCGAGGGCGGAGAGCTGCTTGGCAAACGTACTTGGCATCATCGCGCGTCGTCGCACCTCGATGCGGTTCATCATCTACGACATCATATTCTGCTCTTGGCACTGGCGTCGAGGCATGCCAAACCTCGTGCGAGGCCGTAAAGTCCGAGTCGATAGCGTCGGCAAACTGCTCAATGTCAGCAAGCCGCTTCCGCATGTCGTCAAGCTGCTGCTTCATCGACGAGAAGCGCGCAAGTCCGACCGGTGCCTCGCTCGCTAGCGATGGCGTCTCACCCTCAACACTCGCCTCGCTTCTCGTCGTGTCGATCGGTGGTGCATCGGGCGCCGGTGGCGAGGCCGCCGTCGGTGCGGATCCCTCAGAGGGGCCCTCGACAGCGGTGACAGCCTCATAGGCGACAGCGAGTGTGTCGCGCGATGCCACAACCGGTGTCGGCGTCGACGGTGCTATATCCATAACGCGCAGGTACGTGGGTGCGGGCTGCTTGGACTGCAGCTGCACAAACACAGGGAACGGCGGCGGCTTTTTGACGGCAATGGGCTCGATAAAGCTCGTCGCTTCGGTCTGTGTACTGTCCACGTCAACGTCGTGACGCTCCGTGTTGGTCGCCGTCTCCTGCACCAAACGCGTCGGTGGCTCGACGATGTCCTCGGCCTTTGCTGTTTGACTGCTGGCATCTTGGATCGGTGTCGCATCGGAAACTGCAGTCGGGAGGACGACGCGCGCACTACGCACATGCGGCTCAAACGTCTTTGGCCGTAACGGGACGCTGGTCATGCTTGCGGCCTTCCGCAGGAGCTTGAGATGGGCGGTCGACGGATCGTGGCCGCTAAATGTGAGCGGCTGCACGAGGGGCGGCGGCGGCACCATCGTGCGGGCGCGCTCGAGTGACCGAGGCACCGCGGCTGGCTCTCTACACCGCATGCATTGCTTCTCACACAGTGGCTATGGTGAAGACGCACCGAAGTTTGGCCTTTTGCAGCTGTAGAAGCTGGAGCACATTACGGGACGATTGCTTGGACGAGATGGGGGCTTGTGCAATGGCTTCGTTTTGTGGGCAACTCGGCGCTGCTTCGGAAGACGGTGGTCTCCCCAACGTCGAGCGCGAGCGCTTGGCAAGCGTCGCGGGTGGCGTCGGGAGTGCGGTGTCGGAACGCAGCTTCAAGAGCACGCGGGGAATTGCAGTCGAGTGGACTTGGGTTGCAGTGGTTGTCTGCGGCACCGCGTCGGTCGCGGTCGCCTGGCAGCTTGTCGCGATCGGCGGTGGTCTACTCGCTTGAACCAGTGTCTTGGTGGTGGCAACGACGTGGTGGGCGAGCGCGGTCTCCTGCGCGTGCAGCAGCTCGAGGACTTCCAAGCGCGAGATCGCATCCGAGTAGCTCTGCACGTCGTCGGCGCGATCTTCGATTATCGTGACGCGGCTCGGGCTGCTGTCGAGTCCCATTTGCTGGCACAGATGCCAAAAGAGCGCGTCGCCACGAACCAGTCGCAGGGCGCCACCAACTGCCCCAAGCTGTCGCTCGAGAAGCGCTTGTTTGGTTTCTACGTAGTTGGACCCGATGCGAAGGTTGACTTCAGCTACGAGACGCTGCTCGCGCTTCGTCAGGCGTGTGGGAGCTATCGAGGATGCTCGGAGGTAGGCCAGAGCATGCGCCGTCTCCAACGGCGTCGACGTCCAAGAGAGGCTTTCGTGCAGCGCCGCCAGCTGCACGCTTCGACTGTCGGCGACCGAGAGGCCAAAGATGTGGCAGTTCACTCGAACGACGTGCCAAATGCCACCCGGGAGCTTGGCGCGCAGCGAAATCGCGGCGGCGTCTCGCGCCACAGCAGCCCACACCGTCCACACGACCGTCCGCGCAATCGTCGCCGCACATGGTGCATAGGTGGATGGCGCCGACGTTGTCAGGCCCAGCAGCGGCAAACTCGGTTGCAACAGCTTGGCCACATGGTACAGCGGCGGCGCGCCTGTTCCGAGCAGCGCAAAGAGACAGGGCAGCCCGTGGTCGCTGGCCGCCAAGTGCGCGCGCACGGCATGGAGGCGCCGGACGACAAAGGCAGTCGCAGCCGCCTCGCGCGCACTGGCCACCGCAACACACGCACACTTGGTCGTATCCACCCGATAGGCAGCAAGGAACGGCGACGCAGTGTGCAGACCGTCGACGTCGGCGATCGCGCCGGTGACGTCAAGGTCCGAGAGCACTGGCAGTGTCCGGTACACGTGCAGGACGGTCGCCATGTACCGTGCGCAGACGACAAGGTGGAGCGAAGACCGCTCGGCGCAGAGGTCGCGGAGAAACGACTCAGTGCTCGCTGTTGTGAACGTTGCGCCCATCTGAAGTACGAAATGACACAGCGCTTCGAGCTTCGCCACGAGTTGAAGCGCTGCGGGGCGGGACCACTGGGCGACGGGGGGCAGCTCGGCCCACAAGGTCAGGGCCATGAGATGCCGCCCGAGCAGCATGTGGGGTGTGAGCCCCAAGTAGTGCAATGCAAGGACACAGCCGAGTGCTTGCAGGTACGCAACATCGTGGGGCTGTTGCCGGAGCCAGGCCACGTCGGCGAGGCGACATGCAGCCGCGACGTCATAGCTACCAAGCGCTCTTGTGTGCGCCGGGTCGACATCCAAGGTCGCGAGGTACGCGGCAACGGCGGGCGCGTACGGCAGCGGGCGTCTCGGCGCTCGCAGCTGCTCAAAGAGGTTGGCGTAGTTGGGCGCCCAGTGGTCCGCTGGCGGTGCATCCCGAAGCAGGTTGGCGAGTCGGTCAATGCAGTCCAAGGGCGCATGAAGCGCCACGTGGAAGAGGAAGAAGACGAGACTTCGGATCGAAAAGCAAGTGACACGCGGGTGCAGCGTGTGCACCGCGACGGCAACGAGCTTGGGCAGCAAGTGTTCTCTTTGCGTCGCCATGCAAAGGGAGCTGGACACTAGGAAGGCGTCGAGGGCCGCATTGACGTCGGCGGGTGGGCCCTTGAGAAAGGCCGAGACAAAAGCGGGTTGCGCGGGCGTCGGGGCCGAGTTGCACAGTGGCGATGACGATGGCGCCGGTGGTGGCGGCGCGACCTGAAGCGCATACAACCGTATGCTCGTAGCAGAGTGCACGAGGAGCTTGGCGCGGTCGCTGTCGCCAAACACCGAAAACTACCATGTGGTTGCTTCATGAACTTTTGATTCGCTGATTCAGCACGTACATGTAGATCCGGTGGCATGGAGGTCGCCAGAATGAGAAGTGGCGCTTTGATCCCCGTACCCGCGTGGCCGTGCACGACGTAGATAGAGCCTATTGCCTCTTTCTGTCAGTACAAGAAATGGCGGCGACGGGTACCTTGCGCCGTCGAGACCACGAGATGCGGCAGACGCGGGTGCCACGCGGTCGCCATGATGGTCTCGGGCGTGGCATACGTCACTTCGTGGTCGGTGGCGATCGAAGCAAAGACGACGGTGGACGGCGCAACGACGATGGCGAGGCATTGGCTCGGTCCGTGCAAGGCCACTGACAAGACACTCGTTGACGCCGACGGCCGCGACAGCGAGCGCACTCGCGTGTCGAAAACGATACTACCGTCGTCGTCGTCGCACATGTAGGTCGTGTGCACGTCGAGCGCGACTGCTTGCAGCGCTACGTGGCCGACGGCAAAGACAGACCCGAGGAGACGCGAGTGCAATGGCGCGGCCCATGACGTCCCACATGCCACAGGCAGCGAGATGCTCGACCACGCGGAGGGCTCGACGCTTGCTTGCTTACCTAAAGATCGTACGCGCCATCGCACGGCAGCGCTGTGGTCGGAGGCGAGCAGGACGACGGTCGCGCCAGTAGGTGAGATGGCTGCGACAAGAAAGGGCTGCTGTAGCGATGACGGGATCGCCTCGACGAGCATGGTGTCAGCGCCAGCGTTATAGAGCGCGAGAGAAGCGTCGCCGGCCAGCTGTAGAAGAATGTACTCGTTCGTGCTGCAAAGGAGCCGGCTTCCATGTACGTCGACGTCGGCGCCGTGGCGCCAGAGCGGCGTCGTGGCCTGTGCACTTGGGCGAACCTTATGCCGAAGCACGCACGTCGAGCCAAGAGCGATGAGCTCCATGGTCGCTGGGACATACGTGGCAGCGACAACGTCGTCAACGGCGCTCTGGAACTCGAGCATCGTCCGGCCGCCTCTCCAAGATCCGCCGTCTAATTTCGGCACGTGCCGATTTCAAAGCGCAGCTCAATCCCTTGCAATGGGATGCATGCACACACAAAAGCCGACGGACGCGACTTATCAACTCCGCAAAGAGCACTCGAAGGATGCTAAATGGGTCGGTGCAGGACTGCACCCGGCGTGTTTGATGCCATCACCAAGATGCGGCTTAATATATTTATATGTGGTAAATATGGCGCACGCCATATATAATACAATGGGTCACAGCGATAGCTGTACAGCTTGTCTGGCAATGCGCCGTAGCATTTCGTGGTCGCCCAAAGGTGCTCTATCAATGTGCCAAGTTTGAGCAACTTCATTTTTCCTCGCGATCGACGCCTCTGGTCCGCCTTGGATCGGTGGGCGGGCGCACTGCTGGCACAGGATTGGCTATAATTTCGCAAATTATCAACCAATAAAAGTGGCTCATTTTCAATGAGAGGGTAACCTCGCCAACCCAAATTGCAGCGCGCGTGGTGGCCTGCTGTGCTGTAAGCCTACTACTAGTACAAGTAGATGAACGAGACGTGGGCCGTTGGCTACTAGTACGTGAGATACACTGCCGCCCTCATGGAGCATGCTGCAGCTACTGCTACTGCACCACCTTCCACGATTGTCGTGGTGACTCATCTTGCAGGACATGTAAATTCTCGATGACATCTTGTTCGTCGGCAGTGACACGAGTGGAGACGAAGGTGTCGATGCACATCATAATGATCAACAGACATTTTGTGTATACCTATTCCTTGCTCGTCTCACTGTCTACTACTAACACTGCGTTCTACGCGTGGCTCGTGCGCTGGCGCTTCGGGCTCACGACGTCCGTCTCATCCGACTTGCGCTTCGGGCTCTCGTTCTTCTCAGCCGCGGCCGCCGCCGCTGCCGCGTCGCCAGGCGCTTCCACGTCGCCATACGTCAATGCCCGCTTCTTCTCGGTCGACCCCAAGTGTTTTCGGGCCGCAGGGTTCTTGAGCAACCGGTCGGCGAGGGCTTCGCCGAGGCTCTCGGCCTCAAACCGGTTGCCGGAAATGGTTTCTTCATACGACTCTTGGCCGTCGCGCGAGAGGAGCACCGCCGTGAGCGTGAGCTCGTCGCCGTCGAGCGTCGTGTTGACACCCATCGAGATCTGGCAGCCGCCTTCTAGTGTCCGCAAGAGAGACCGCTCGGCCTTGCAGCATTGCGCCGACTCTTCGTGCTCGATCTTGGCCAGCATCTCGAGCGTCTACCAAAGTTGTGACGTTCAGTGCATCCAATGGATGTCTACCTCGGTGTCGTCGCCCCGGCACTCGACACCAATGCTCCCTTGGCCCACCCCGTAGCCAAAGACAGCCGGATCCAGGAGCTACAGAACGACATGAGAAGGCTGGTTGACACAGCATGGCGAGGCGTCGTACTTGGTCGATACGGTCGCCCAAACCACCGCGACGAAAGCCCGCGGCCGCGACAACAATCGCATCATAATCATCTAGACAGACTGCGTCAGCAACGCTCGTGGTATTGAAAGATAGTGTACCTTCGTCGTCGAGCTTGGCGAGACGCGTCTGGATGTTGCCACGGATCGTCTTGACTTGGACGTGCGGGTAGAGCCTAGCGAAGGCGCCATTGTCAGCATCACATCTTGCACATGTTTGGGGCGTACTTGAGCAAGAGAGCTTCGCGGCGCAGCGAACTGGTGCCAATGATGCTGTCTTTCGGCAGATCATCGAGCGTTGTGATACCCTACGCCACGCCATGAGCGGCTATCGCAACACAGCATGGGCTTTGAACCTTGGCCTTGTGCTTGGGGTGGATGATAACTGCGTCTTCGGGGCTTTCGCGCTCGCAGACCGCGCCAAGGACGAGGCTCTCGGGCAGCATCGTGGGCATGTCCTTGAGCGAATGCACGGCGAAGCTGCTCCGGCCGGCCAAAAGCTCCTTCTACACGCAGCATGCTACAGCGACAAGGCCATGCTACGGCGGCGTACCTCCAAGCTCTTGGTGAAGAGGCCCGTGCCACCCACCTGCGTGAGGTGCTTGTCGAGCACTTGGTCGCCGATCGTGTCCTGGAGCCCGATCTCGAAGGTCACGTCCGGGTAGTGCTTCTGCAGCATCGAGATGACCTCGCGCGTCTGGTACAGCGCGAGGTCGCTCTTCCGCGACGAGACGTACACGGTCTTCGTCGTACTGGCCATCGCGTGCTTGGGTGCCAAAGGTTGAATGGCGAAATCCTGCACCCGGGGGTTTCCCGGAGATGCGACATCCGCACTTATGAGAGCGTACTTAATACAGCATAAGTACGTTTTAGCATCGTACTTGAGCGACACGCGTATACTAGAAACAAGAGCTCAAAGAAGTGCGCCCATCGTGGGGTGCTGGCCTCGTCAACGTTTGGAGTTGATGCCGAGGTCAACCTGCTTATTTTCGGCATTCTCAGAGCGCTGGACCGACGGCTGCGTTCGGTGCCCGAGTTTGCACACGCCGAGGTGGATGAGGACAACATGGTGACAGCATGATGGAGGCACTGGACGACCGGCGATACCACTGCGGCGATACTGAAGCTACGCCCGAATCAAGTAGACTATATTTCTACTAGTTGACGTGGTCAGTAGTTGCTGCCAGCAGTAGCAACGACTCGAGTGGCAACCGTGTCCTGGACGAATGCAACATGCAGCCTCCTGCTACGCTACGGTACCACTCGGCTGTCTCAATGGCGCGTACGGTACATCGCCTGTCGCGCCTAAATGCGGCATTGAGTGCCGAATTTAGAGCTCGTGTCTATGTGGCGCTACGACGCATTTAACCGGATGCTACCGGCGTGACAAATAAGGGTACCGCAGATTGCAGCATGGACCGGCGGGTGCTGGTCAAGGACGACGCGTGCGGCCGGCTCTTGGCACTGCACCTTGAGCAGTCGGGCGACGAGGCTGCGCCACGCCTCATCATACATGCGCATGCCTTCAACCCAGCAACCTCCGTGTTTGCGACGAGCGAAAAACGGGTCGTATGCGATCTGCCGGTACCCAAAGCGACGTACGGCACCTCCGAGCTCTTGGCCGCTGCATTCGTCGACGACGACGGACTTGGCATGCACATGCTCTTTCTCGTACTCTTCTTGCATGCCCACGGCCATGTCGCTCTCGTGCGCGTATCGCCCCATCTGTCGGCGGTGGACGACCTGGCGCTTCTTGAGGTCGCCGCGTGGCACAACCACCGATGCCACGCGCGCCTCGTCGATGGACCACGCATCTTGCTCTACTCGTCGTCGTCCAAAGCCATGCAGCTGCTTGCGTGGAACAGCAACGAGGACGACGGCAAGTTACAGCCGCTCACGGGCGAGATGGCGCTGCCAGCAACGACGCTGGGCATGCCACAATGCCAGCGCATCGGCACGCATCTGCTTCTGCACACTGTTCTACCGTACGACCTGATGGTAGATCCATCGTATCCTCCAACCTCGTGTTCTAGCGACGACGTCCACGTGTGGGAGACGCTTCCGCTGTGGCCGCTGCCCAGCCTTGAGAAACGCGTCAAGCGCGATATACCCGACCTCTCGCCGTGCGCGTACCTCCCAGCGCCGACGACTTCAACGACGACCAGTGTGTACATCCGCAGCAGCGACGACAGTCGGCCGACGCATCTCTTTGTCGGCACGATGGCGCCGTCGCTGGTGGCCTACCGGTACAACTGCGTCGTTGCGAGCTTGCAGCTGCCCGGACCCGCCATCGACATGTACACATATGTGCTACTACACGATCGACGCCCTCTCATCGCGCTGTAGCCAGCAAGCTGCCGTGGACGCGACGCATGGCGTTCTCGCAGTGCTTTGCAACGACGCGCAGCAAACGCTGCTCATTGTCTCGGCGCACGACGATACCCTTACCATGGTACAAGGTACCGCCGGCTTCGATACCCGCCGTCTACATTTGAGTAGAGATTGCGCTGGTCGACCGCGTGTTGATCGCCGACTTCAAGGGCACTGGCCGCGACCAGCTCCTGTGCCTCTCGGAGCAGTCGGTCGACGACATTCTTGGGCGATGGCTGCTCACCGATCTCTCGTACGTCCACACGGGTAGGTTGGAGCTACGTGGTTTGTACTACGAAGGACGAAGCAGCGGCGTGTAGACCCGGCCAAGGACAAGAAGGTGAAAAAGCGCAAAGCCAAAACCAAACTGCACGTGCAACTCGACAAGATGATGCCGCCGGATCGGTCTCAAAAGGTAGATGTCTCGCCAAGTATCTCGACTCATTTTTCCTCGGAGCTTCTCGCGATTGAGCAAGCCATGGTGCACAAGGCGGCGCAGGCGACAGCCGACAACACGCGCCTTGGCCGCTTTGTACGAAGTAGTACCTCTTTGGACAGTAAAACCCATTTGAACCATCTAGGTGGACGAAAAGAAGAGGCTCCTCGAGCTCTTGTACCAGCACTGCGCGCAGACCGTCGATGCCCAGGCGGCGCCAGAGCAAGATGCACCAAAAACAATCGAGTTACTCGCCCTCGAGACGGTGCTGCCAGCAGAGACGCCAGCACCGGCAGCCGTTGTCTCGCTATCGTCCTTGCGGCGGCCGAGTCTGTGGATGCTCAAGCACTGGGAACCCGTGGCTGCGCACCATACCCCGACGTCGATGGTCATCGACGTCGCGCTGACGGTTCTGCACAGAGCCTCGTACGTCCAGCCCTTGGACGGACACAATGGCTCATACGACGTGTGTAGCGATGTGTTGACCGACGTTGCGGTGCACGCCGTGTCGTCGTCGTCGCTTGGAAGTGTCTCTGCCCATCAGCCGAGCGTGGTCCCCGGCGCCGAGTGCAATGTGGTCTTGCAGCTAGCGCTCAGCTACGGCGTCCTTGAGATGGCGTGTGATCTTTGCATTGCCTACACCGATGTCGGCGGTGGCGAGCGCTTGTTTCAGCCACTGGCGCCGCTGGCCATTGGCACCGCCGACCTCCTTCGACTGCGAGCGACGGTACCGCGCCCCGGTAAGCTCGAAGGATACCGGTCGGGTATCCGACTATTTGTGCTTGTAGACATCGTGACGGACCTGATCGTTGTCTCGCCTCACATCGATTTGACGCAAGCCGTGCCAGTGCTGCAAGCGGTGCGTCAAGATGAGTGCCACGCATGATGCACACGACTCGTGTAGGCCATGCCAGAGCGGATTGAAGCGCAGCTGCTCCGCCCGTCGATCGCATCGCTCTGTATGCAAAGTCATAGCCGCATCGAAGCGCGGTTGATGCGAGCGCATCTGATGCAAGCACTGGATGGCTGCACGGTGCTAATGAGCCCGTTTTCGCGGACGCACATGGAGGGTTTGCAGTCGTGTATGCGTGCGTTGCGGAAGGAGCTCGCATTTTTGCAAGGCAGCGCGTCCGTCGACGACCTTCGAAGCGCGCAAATTCAACTCGACGTTGCAATGGGTCATTTGCACAAGGCGCTGACAGAACGCGCAGAGACGAGCGGCGAGACGCGAGATACCTAACTCACTAGATCTATCGCCCACGATGAAGTTCCAACGAGCCGCGACGATCGTGGGACGTGGCAGCATGCTATGTGAATGCTATTGCGCTTTAGAAGGAGGGCAGACACGCGTTGCAAGAGGCTGGTCACCAAGGAGGCGGCGGTGCTAACGTTTGCAGAGTCACAGTTAGGAAAGCAGGGATATCTCGGAGCTAAAGGTCCTTGACGCCGACGACTAATAACAAATCGAAGCATTTGAAATTACATCATCTTTGCATTGCCAGCCTACTTGCACTGGTAGATGGACATGGTGTGGGCCATCAACCGGTGCAAGTCGGCAGCAAGGCAGGTTGGTGAAATGCTGGCGAGAAATGCGCCGTTTTTATTGGTTGATAATTCAAGATAATGCAGCCAATACCGTGCTAGCCCAGCGTTCACCCACCGATCCAAGGCGGATCAGAGGCGCCGATCGCGTTGAAAAATAAAGTTGCTCAAACTTGGCACATTGATAGAGCACCCTTGGGTGACCACGAAATGCTACGGCACATCGCCAGACAAGGCGTACAGCCATCGCTATGTCCCATGGTATAATATATGGCATGCGCCATATTTACCACTTATAGCCATATTTAATTGCATCTTGGTGGGCTGCCTCGCGATCAACACCTGCAATCGAGCGGCCTCGGTACCGAGCCACGCGGTTGCGCTGGAGTATTTTGCACAGACGCCAACAAATGTAAAAGAGAAAAGTGAATGAAAGTGTAATTATGGACTAGTATTATAGCATGATGCAGTTTATCTCTTTTGGTGGTTGACATAGCGCAGCGAGAGAAGCGCGAGGATGCGCCAGAGCAAAATGAAGCCGATGACCGCGAAAAAGTTGGTCCACCGGTCGTCGTAGTTCATCTCGTAGACCTTCTCGACATAGTCCTTGACGCGAATCTGCTTGGTCGGAAACTCAGCAAAGAGGCTCGGCGGAATGCCGGCTTCGGGCATGATCTGGCAACCGAGCTGGGTACCGTCCGTGCACTTGGCAAACGTCTC